GATCCAGAGGGGATTGTAGGATCACAGAGTGTTGGGGATGGGATGGAGATGGGAGAAATGGTGATATGGAGGGCACCAAAATGAGTCTGTTGGGAGTAAAGCAGGGAGTAAACCATGAGTAAAGTGTGAGTAGCCATGAAATGGGATCCAGAGGGGACTACAGGATCACAGAGCGTTGGGGATGGGATGGAGATGGGACAAATGTTGATATGGGGGTAACGAAATGAGTCAGTTGGGAGTACAGCAGGGAGTAAAGCAGGGAGTAAACCACGAGTAAAGTGTGAGTAGTGATGAAAAGGGATCCAGAGGAGACTACAGGATCACAGAGTGTTGGGGATGGGATGGAGATGGGACAAATGTTGATATGGGGGTAACAAAATGAGTCAGTTGGGAGTACAGCAGGGAGTAAAGCAGGGAGTAAACCACGAGTAAAGTGTGAGTAGCCATGAAATGGGATACAGAGGGGATTATAGGATCCAAGAGTGTTGGTGATGGGATGGAGATGGGACAAATGTTGATATGGGGGTAACGAAATGAGTCAGTTGGGAGTACAGCAGGGAGTAAAGCAGGGAGTAAACCACGAGTAAAGTGTGAGTAGTGATGAAAAGGGATCCAGAGGAGACTACAGGATCACAGAGCGTTTGGGATGGGATCGAGATGGGACAAATGTTGATATGGGGGTAACGAAATGAGTCTGTTGGGAGTAAAGCAGGGAGTAAACCACGAGTAAAGTGTGAGTAGCCATGAAACGGGATCCTGAAGGATACGAAGGCCGTTCTCTTCCCCCCCCCACCAGCTTCACGGAGCGCCCATCACCCTGCCCTACACCGCCAAGCATTCCGCCCTGACCGTGGAACGGCGGGGGTGGGAGGTGGAGCTGAGGACCCCCTGGGGGCTTCGCGTCGCCTACGACGGGCAGCACGGGAGGGTGAGCGTCCAGGTGGAGAGTTCCTACGCCGGCCGACTCTGCGGGCTGTGCGGGGATTTCGACGGGGATCCCCGTAACGATTTGGCGCCGGCGAGAGGATGGAGAGTAGGGGAAGAGGAAGGATGCGAGGACGGGTCGGGATGCGGGGAGGAAGAGGGGAAAAAAGGAGCCCAAAGCGAAGAATGCGGGGTGTTGTTGGATAAGGACGGGCCGTTCCGGCTCTGCCACGAGGCGGTGCACCCCGAAACGTACTACAGGGATTGCATGGCCGACCGGTGTCACGACGACGGGGTCTGTCGCGTCGTCGCCGCTTACGTGGCTGCTTGTCAGGAAGTGGGGAAGGAAGTCCTGGAGTGGAGAAGCGAGGGGTTCTGCGGTGAGTGGGGAGAGGGGGGATACGGGTGGGAGGGGGTGGTGGGGTCGTAGAGCAGCCCAAGGAGCCAAGGGGGGTGGTGGGGTGGGGATGTGGCTCCATAGGGCACCTCAAGGACCCAACAGTGGGGGTGGGATGGGGGTGGGATGGGGGTGGGATGGGGACAGAACCCCATAGAGCATCCCAAGGACCCAAGGGGGGTGGTGGGGTGGGGATGTGACCC